GACAATCAGGTCAAGGTCCATGGCCATCGCATCGAACTTGGAGAGGTCGAAAACTCCATCCGCCGTTCCGGACTCGTCAAGGATACAGTGGCATTGGCTGCTACCATCCAAGGCAAGACTCATCTTATCGCATTCTGCATATTTGACGAAGCTTCTGCAGCCATTGGCCCAACTGGTGTTCAGGATCCGTCAACTTTCCGAGGCTCTCTTGCTGAACTGCGCGAGAATCTTGATTCACTGGCGACGTACATGATTCCGAAGTTCGTTGTTCCCATGAACGCTTTCCCCAAGCTGCCCTCGCGCAAAGTCGACCGCAAGGCACTGAAAATGCTAGCTAACGAGCTCGACCGGGAGTATTTGGCGCAGTCCGTGCTAGAGACTCCTGGCGAAAATCACCAAGTTATCCCAGTCGAGACACCATCAGAAGAGATCCTCGAACTCGTCTGGGCTGAGATCTTCAGCATCCCTCAGAGTGAGATCGGACGTGAAGCGAACTTCTTTACGCTTGGGGGTGATTCGATTTCCGCCATCAGCCTCACGGGTCAGTTGCGAAGACTAGGCTACTCGCTAACGGTGCTTGATATTCTCAAGACCCCCAAGTTGAAGGATATGGCCTCCACTCTGCGCAAGATAGAAGCACGCGGTGAGGTGGTTGAGCGCTCCTTCGAGGTCCCTCCGTCAATCAAGGTAGCTGCCCAGGAAGTTGGGATAGCATGGGATACAGATGTCGATCATGGTAAGCTTCCTTTTGCACAATTTCCAGTCAGGCGGCCAGCTTACGACTATTCCAGTGTACCCATGCCCTCCCGGTCAAGCCGAGTTCCTCAAACAGGGCAGCCGAGAGTCGCAAATGTGGGCGCTGCAGACTGTCCGACGCATGACGGCGGACATCGACCCGGATACGTGGATTGAAGCAACGACTCGACTTACTGAACTCAACGAAATCCTGCGGACGACTTGGATTGATATACCCGAAGCTGGCTGGGTCGGAGTTGTACTTCATGGCTCCGAGCTAAATGTTACCAAGGTGACCTTGGACTCCGAGTCAGAGTCCTCGAGCTTCATTGAAGAGTTTTGGCAGACTCGTTTTGAATTTGGTCGTCCCTTCATCAAATACGCTGTCATAACCCATAGCGATGCATCTTGGGATCTTGTCATCAAGATGGATCACGCTGTTTACGACGGCACTTTGCTTCGCGTATTTGATGACCACTTTGGCGCCATTCTTCGGGGCGAAAGCGTACCGCCACCAGTAGAGTTCCGCGACTTCTCTCAGCATGTCTTTGCAGAAGACAAGACAGCCAGCCTTGGTTACTGGAAAGCAAAGATGGATGGGCTAGGGCCTTTTGATCAGCAGCTGCATGGCCGAGATCTTGCTACGGCCCCATCACCCAAAATCACTGCCAGCTTGCGAAGAGATATTGTGACGACAGACATTGACCAAGCAGCTTCTCGCCTTGGAGTCACTCCGAGCATCATCTTTCAAGGATCGTTCTCCCTTTGGCTTGCTGCAGCGACCGAGGCTACGGATATTCGCTTTGACTATTTGCTGAGCGGTCGCAACGTAGCGCTGCCGGATCCTCAGTCAATCAACGGAACACTGGCCAACTTCTTGCCATTCCGAACGCCCGTTGGTCCGAAGGAGTTGGTGCACGACTTTCTTGCCAAGTTACAAGACGACTTTTGGGATGTAACCGAGAACGGCCTCGTTGGCCTTGACGATATTTACGGCGTCGCTGGCCTATCTCGCGAGACACACGGTAACCGAATCTTGTTCCTCTCTCAACCATTTGAGCCGGCAGCCAAGGATGATCCGAATGGCCGCTACCGATGGCTTGTCATGGCGAAGTCGAAGGTGCGCATGTACCAGCCATACGCGCTGGTCGTCGAAGTGTCCAAGTCGCTGGGTGATCGTCACATACTGAAGGTCATGTATGACGACACCATCTTGGATCCGTCGGTGGCGGAAAGTATTGCGGATGGTATCGTTGCCTTGGTCGAGGTCCTGACTGATGCCACCAACGCGAATCTGGCACTTGAAGCGTTGTGACTAGGACCGAAGTCTTGCTGTAGGACGACAGAGGCTTTGCTTAGTACAGAATAAATGATCTCTGCCCAATTTTTGCTCCAATTCCATACAACTCGGGGAATGATATTCTCGCAAGCTGTGATCATTGAGACCAATATCGCTGGACGACGCGTGAAGAGACGGTGTGTGGTCGTGGTTGAAGCCTTGGCGCTCACTTCGGCAATTACCTCCGGAAATCAAGACATGATATTTCTTGGCAAAAAGAAATGCCAACTGGCCCAAGTGGCCAAGACATCGACCAAGTTGACTGAAGCTTTGGGGCGTTGGGACCACGGACAGGAGTCCTTTCTTGGCCAACCCTCCACAGTTCCTCCACAATCCTCTATCCACATCACGACGCGGGGGGGAACTGACAAGGGAGCAAAATTTCCAACAAAGAGATGGATCACTGGGGGAGATTGCGGCTTTGTGCGGGGGAATCTCGACTAACGACGCAAATCGAATCCATCCGATTGTTGGCTAGTTTTCTCCGTTGACCACGGTCTAGAAATTCCATCAATCAGTTGCTCGCGTAGACCAGACGGCGCAGTCGACCCTGGAAACCGACATGCAGGCAACCTGCACAATCTCCGAATCCACCTCAGCTAAAGCTCGTTGGCTCGCATCTTCCCCAACTTCTCCCCCTCGTCGCGATGGGGTTCGAGGCTGGTCAACCCTTCAAACCCTATGGGCGCACGGCTGGGGGAGCCTGGAGAGCCTGGGGCTACTGCGAGGCCGGCGTGAGACCCGGTGCGGCGGTCTGCTGATTACGCGGATGGACTGATGCGGGAGTACCAGGACGCTGAACGTGAGGAGAAACGAGGGCTTGATAGGTGGAATGGGTTGTGTTGTTTCTCCTTCGCGCAGTGCGTCCTGGTTATTTCCAGATGGCTGGGCGTAGCGAGACTAGCTTGCTATCGCCCCAACTAGCTGCTTATTCTACCCCTGCCATGTTACCCCGACTTTGGAGAGACGTCGAATATTTTCATAGCCAAAGAGCTGTTGATAGCCATGATGATCACTTAGGGTGTAGAGCAATTGGGAAAGAAATGTGACTTGGCGATGCAGGTCCATTGCCAAGCGGAACGAGTATATGAAGACGCTCGCGCTCTGGGAGTTGTTCTGGATGGCTGATCACCTCCCCCGAGCAGCCTCCTTACTTGGCAACTCACTTGGCAATCCCACTCAACCTCGTGTGTGTGTTTCCCTCTCACCACTCAATCCCACACGTAGCCATGAGAGTCTCTTCCATCTTCGCCGTCCTGGCGGCTGCCAGCAGCGCCCTTGCCTACTCGGCCGAGTTGATTCCGGCCGGCGTCCCTCGCAACGTGGATGAGTTCCGCGTTAAGCACCCTTACCAGAAGCGATCCAGAGGCTGCCGCAACACCTACACTCTGCGCGCCTCGGAGAACGACCTGGATGACGTCTCTGACGAGTTTGTCGAGGGCCTGAAGCTGGCCAACAACGGCGGCACTCTGCACCTCCCCGCAAACCAGACATTCATCATTGGCAAGCCTCTCGATCTGACGTGGCTCAATGATATCCACGTCCACTGGGAGGGTGAGATCAAGTTCACCAACGACACCCCGTACTGGCAGGCCAATGCCTTCCACCATCCGTTCCAGAACTCCATCATGTTCTGGAAGTGGGGAGGCAAGGACGTCAAGCTGTACGGCCAGGGTGTTTTGAACGGTAACGGCCAGAGATGGTGGAACGAGTTTGCCGGTCTTGAGTAAGCTTTCGACAGATCCTTGACTTGCTTTAAGCTTATCTCTAACAAACTTTTAGGATTCTGGACCCCACAAACGCCTACCTCCGGCCTATCCTGTTTTATGCGGAGAACGCGACCGGATTGTCCATTGAGGGCATCCACTTCAAGGACTCTCCTTGCTGGACTACCTTCATCGTGACTTGTAAGTGGTGCCGCCATTATTACTGCAAGATGCCCAGCACTAACAGAAGTTTAGCCAAGGACATCTCCTTCACCGACGTCATTGTCACCGCCGAGACCAACAACCACACTGCCGAGCCCAAGAACACCGACTTCTTCGACTCTCTGAACGTTGAAGATGTCCGCGTCAAGCGCGCCTGGGTGAACATTGGTGACGACTGCTTCTCCCCCAAGTCCAACGCCACCAACGTCCACGTCGACACCATGTACTGCAACGGCACCCACGGACAGTCCATCGGATCTCTTGGTCAGTACGCCGGCGAGAAGAGCTTCGTCAAGGACGTCGTCATTGAGAACGTCTGGATGCTCAACGGCCAGCACGGTGCCCGCCTCAAGACCTGGGCCGGCCCAAACATTGGCTACGGCTTCATCGACAACGTCACCTTCCGCAACTTCTGGCAGGCAAACAACGAGTACACGGCCTTCATTGACTCGTGCTACTTCAACATCAACGCCACCACCTGCGCTGCGTACCCCTCCCAGATGAACATCAGCAACATTCTGTTTGAGAACTTCTCTGGATACTCGAGCGGCAAGTACGGCCGTGCTGTCGCTAAGCTTACTTGCTCCACCAACCCGAACGCCGTCTGCGACAACATTCAGTTCAAGAACTTCAACATCACTACCCCGTGCGGTGGTGACCCCGTCATTCTCTGCGATGGTATCAAGGGAGACATTGGGACGCCCTGCGTTTCCGCCACTAGTGACGAGGGTAAGGCTGCCCTGGCGGCCAAGTGCACAACTGCCATGGCTGTAGCCACTCCATGGGAGGTCAGGCCCTTCAAGGGTTGATTAGTGATCGGCTTACGCTCGTCTCTGAATGCGAGTAGTGCCAGATGTCAGGAGTCAAGATGGTGACCAAGTCGTATAGTGACGACATAGATTCTTGTATAAAATTAAATTTTACGTATACAATTTTGACAACCTCTGTAGTTCATGCCTAGTGTTTTCTTCCGCGTTGCAAGTATGTCCATAACCCTTTTACAAAAACGTGGCAACACCGACAAAACCAGCGGCAACGGCAGCGGCTGCGATCATGCCGGTCTGACGGGTTCCAACGTTGACGGGAACCTGCGTTGGGTTGTTGCGGCCGCTTGTCGCACTGACACCGGCACCTGTGCCAGCGGCAGCTCCAGTCTTTGTCTCGCCGGTAGACTTGGGAAAATCGCCGCCAGCAGCCGTGGTCTTTGGTGCAGAAGAGCCAGACTCCGTAGCACCACTACCGAGTTCCGCCGTGCAGAGCGGGATCTCGGTCTCGAACTCGGAGAGAGTGGAGCAAACGGACACTGCCGACGCGATCGAGGCCGAGTTGGCGTCGACCCAACTCAGAAGCTCCGAGGTATAGCTCGAGTACTCGGCGCTCAGCTCCGCAGGGACAGTGATGCTGCAAGGGTCGGTTTGAGGAGGAGCAGTCATCTCATAGGAGAGAATCTTGGGAGGAGGAGTGGGTGCGTTGGCGTAGACTGTGCCTAGGGCATTGAGGCATGGGTCGGCGGAGAGCTCAGTCTGACGGGGAACGACATCGCGACGGATGCGGTCCGGTCTGACGTCGAAGACGGCGGTCGCTGAACCGGCCAGGGCGGCGATCAGGGCGGTCTTGGTGTACATGTTGTGGGAAGTGAGTGTGAGATCTGGTAAAGACTGTGAGTTGAGATATACAAATGAGTACCAATGAATAGGTTATGTTGTTGGAAGAACGTAATGAAGTTGATGAGGACGTCAGGATCCCGAAACTGCGGCTTTCATCTCAATAAATATGAGAATGAATGAAGACGGATTGCATGCCCCTGGACACTACTTTGGTGTAGCTTAATTTCAAGCATGAAAATAAGGATTCCTGGCTTCAATCCGCTGCCACCGTCCACGACCGTGCTCTCTACCTAGTGCACGCAAACGTCTAGAAAGCTCAATCATGGGGAAGACAAGCTTCATGAGAAGTGAGCTGGGTGCTGTCAAAGCGGCATGCCGATGACTGACGGCGTCATCCTGGCTTTTGAGAGGATCTTAGCCATGGCTTATGAAATGGCAACAAGCCCTTCAGCTAACCCGAAATACTAAAGGAGGATGATTTGCAGCTCATTCGAAGAAACTTTTGGCTAAGGAAGACTTGTTCAACCTGGCTCTAGTTTCGTTTCGGTGCAAGGCACTAAGATAGCCAAATCAGGGGAAATGGCGAAGCTAGTGCTAGAAGATGTTTTGCCTAGAGCTATTTTAGGTTGTTACACACTACTCAAGAGGCCCAGATGGGAGTCCAAGAAAGGAGATCGGTAATACCCGCCTCTTGTTTCTCAGAAAGGAGGCTTACTGGCAAACAGGCTCACTGTAGTTAGTCATGATGCTTCTCTAAATGAATCTCACTACTGTCACTTGGGACCTAAAACGCATTCTAGACCGGTCGCAAACCTTGGAGTGCTTTACACTGGCAGGCAGGAGGAATTTAAAAGACAAATAATGATCGAACTGTGTCTTGTTGTGCAGGTGAGTGATCCGTCACAGGAGTGTGACTTGCGAAGTTCTACAGATGGGTTGGCGAGAGCCTCTATCCTCGTTAGCCGAGTAGCTACATGTTGGTGGCCCGTGAGTGTGACTCGATGCAACGAGAAGGGTCACGATTTGAGAAAAAAGTTGTCCACGCCACCATATCCAAGCAATGTTCCAGCCTTACGCCAACTGCTTCTCGGTAATTGAAGCTTTCCCAGAATGCCAACGACCTGGCAGTCCTCGGGGCCCCGTGGCATTCTTCGCGACTCCTTCAATCTTGCCCGTGCGCACGTGGACTGAAGCTAGATGAGGATATTTCCGAATGGCATTGCAAACTTCTGGGAAGCATATCAAGCGATAGTATAACGTGAAGATTGAATGAAATTCAGTGTAGTCTGTCTTCGTATGTCTATCGTTGCCCCTGTCTTGACCACGAACTCGAAAGGAAAACTTATTCCTGGAGTCCAACGACGCCGACCTTGAGGTAGTGATCGTTGTTCCGGATCTTCTCCCCAATCACCCCGCTCTTGAGCTCATCAATATCCCACTTGGCCCAGACAAAGCGGCCATGCAAGAAGCGCGACTCCTCCGATGCGGCCCAGACGGCGAAATTTCCAGCCAAGTCAACTAGAAGCCAGACATGATTAGCAGGTGCACACCACTTTCTTTGATCTCGGACTACACATACCATGATCAAACGGATAGATGTCCTCGGGAATCCCAGCGTTCTTGAAAGCCGAGGTATGCACCACACCCGGGTGGAAGTTGAGAACCTGCATCTTCTCGGGAGGGGTATCCTTGGCAATCATCTGGATCAGCATCGTTCCTGCATTCTTGCTCGCGCTGTAAGCAGGCCAAGGGCCCGATTTGGTAAAGTTGTGACTAGCTTCCGTAGATACGTTGACGAGAAACTGTAGCCATCCTGTCAGTTCTGACTTCCGTCACGCACTGTATTGAGCTTGCATACCTTCTGGCGACCTTCGCCATTCTTCTGCTTGTAGAACTTCTCAGAGAGATCCAAGAGTGAGCGGACGTTCATAGTGAAGGAGCTCCAGACCTCGTCTCTCCCAAGAGACAAGATGGGCCCATGTTCCGAAATCTTGGCGGCATTGAGAACAAGGACATCAATGACGGTGCCGTCCTCCTCGAAGCCCTTCCAGAGCTTCTCGACGTCTGCGAGGTCATCTACGTCGATGGAGTATCCGTCGAACTGCACCTGGGGAAACTCCTTCTTGAGCTCCGAGACTGCCTCATCAACGAGGTTCCGGCGGCGGCCGAGAATAATGATGCGCTTGGCATGGGCCTGCGCGAAGCCCTTTGCGATGGCGAAGCCGATGCCAGCTGAGCCGCCAGTGATGAGGACTGTTCGTCCTGCCTGGGAGAGCTCTGGGCGGGAAGGGAAGATGGTTGGGTAGGGCTTTTTGTGCTCCTTCTTGGTGAAGGTTATTCCGGTCTCGTAGATGGAGGTGGAAGTCAGTGCTGCAAAAGCGGCGGCGCCAATATCGCTGTCCATGTTGAGAGTCGTGTCGAAGGTTTCTTTGATGTATCTGGAGGGGGTTTAAGGTGTTATTGGATTTGATGTGATGTCAAGATTGAAGAAGCTGATGATCTGGTTTCAGAATCTAAGGGATACATCATTTGACAGAATCATCGCAGTCTTATATCGTTTCCCAGCACTGTTGGTAACACAAACACCAGCCCTTCATCCTCACCAATTCAATCAGCAAAGACGTGATCAATCGCTCAACGTTGTTGTAGATCCATCGTTTGTCATCATATTAGCTATGCAAAAACTTTTTGGTGGTTAAAATCCGTTCAACTCCGACGTGCCCAATCGCTGCAGCCGGGAAGTCGAGTCCGCAAACCACCCGCACAGAATTCCCGCAAGTTTCCCGCAAGTCTTCCGCCGAAAACCCGCAAAACCCGCACCGGCGCTGCGCGGTGGCCCCACTCCGTACATTGCTTACGGCGTCCCGAGCCCGCGCCTTGGTTGTTAGCGCTGACAAATGCCGTCATCCTCTCAACTCAAAGGTTCTCCTGCCCGGTCTCTGCTTCAGCAATCATGGTCTCGGATCTGTTGCGAGATCGTTGTGATGACAAACACGGCGTAATACAAACCAAAACACATTTTGACGGCTGAGCACCTCATTTGATGTAACTCGAGCGAAGCGCCATTGTCGACCCAAGTAAGCAAGTATCGAGAAATGACTCGATCCTCCAAGCAAAAAGCATGCATAGCATGCACAGAATCCAAACGCCGCTGCGATAAAGGCCTACCATCATGTTCCCGCTGCGACGACCGCGACGTAGACTGCCACTACCCCGTCACAAAACGACGCCGGCGGCCCGAGACCTTCAAGCCGCTCCCGTTTTCTGACCCACCGGCACCGGCCCCGGCATCGCTGCAGCAGCAGCACTCCATCCCGGCAACGATGCCAGATACGCTCCTCTTCGACGCATCTCCTCTGACAAACGGCATCTGGAGCATGCCCTGGTCAGACCTGGACTTCACCACCCCAAACCTCCCTCTCTCGCCAGCAACAGCCTTCTCCCTCCCGCCACCAAAACCCGCAACATTTCCGCAGCAGCAGCTACATCACGAACCATACATCACCAAACCAGACTACCCTCGCCTCAAATCCTCCATAGCCGCCTCCCTCGCAGGAAGCCAGTGGTTCCTCGCCCCCCAAACATGGAGGATAGACCACTGGCCTGCGCCTCCGCGCGACGCCTACCCCGTCTCCGTCCTGACCAACTTCACTCGCGGTCTGCAGGCCTGGGTCCGGCGGTGGGTGATGGACGGCCACAACCCCTTTATCCACCGCAGTCTTTACACCGAGGGGAATCACTTCCCATTATGCGTCCAGGACGCTTTTGCCGCGGCGTCGGTGTACTTCCACAAGACGTCTTTGAATGAGGCGTTTGTCCATCGAATCTTGGATGAACGCGTCACGGCCCTGCTGGCAAGTCAGCCCGCGGTAGAGGGCAATGACTCCATGTCCGTCCCTTTACTCGAGACGAGAGATCATCTAGCTCGCGTGCATGCCCTCTACGTCTACACCATCATCCGCCTCTTCGACGGCTCAGTAAGCCTACGCGCCGCCGCCGAAGAACACCTGCCTACCCTAGATCTCTGGTCAAAACAACTATGGGAATCCGCCCAAAGAGACGCCGACACTCTCTACAGGAGCCAATGCCCCCCCTCAACATGGAAATGCCAAGCACAAAGGGATTCGGACCTAGCAGACCAAGTCACAGCAAACACCAACGCCGCCAACGCCGCCAGACCAGGGAGAAACAATAACAACGACAAGCCCAACCACCCAAAAGAAGAAGTATTCAACCGCGACCTCTGGACCTGGAACCTCTGGGTCCTCTCCGAATCTGTCCGCCGCACCTGGATCATCGTCGTCTGCACCCTGGGCGTGTACAACGCCCTCAAGGGGAAATGGGGCGAGTGCTCAGGCGGCGCCCTCTTCACCGCCCGTGCGGGCCTCTGGGATGCGCCCTCGGCTCCGCGATGGGCGGCGCTCTGTCGAGAGACGTCCGGGAAGGGGACCAGGACCGGGCGAGGCAGAGGTGGTACCGGTGCCGGAGTTGATGCTGCTGCCGATCGTCCGGGGGCGGAGTGCAGCGAGGATGATGACGCCAACGGCTGCGGCGATCGAAATCTCTTTGTGCCTTCTCTTGATAGCGATGGGCTACTTCATAATACGGCCGCGGCGGATGTTGATGAGTTTGCGAGGCACTTGTTTACATGTATCTGGGGTCTCGACCGTGTTGAAGATTGGGCACTAAGAACGGCTTCAGAAGGGGAGGTGAACTTGGTTTATTGAGGTTGAACGTTGTGGTTTCGGGTAAGGCGGACTCAATGTGGCTAGGACTTATCTGCCATGCCCTTTGACAGAAGGCCATGGATGTCAACAGGTTTGAGATCATTACTGTGAACGACATGGGCGATGTTTTCGAAAACTATCATTCACGTCAGCGGGTGTGAGATATGTTCCTGACCACATACTTCGAACCACGACTACTGGAACATCATTGCTTCAAAGACTTCATGTTATAATATACTTTTACATACGGATCTACTGGCGAGACTGTAACGTCATGACACAAAAACATCT